ATGTTTTGCTAAGAATGTTTGGGCTTTAAAACACGACCCTGGGGGCATTTTCCATAGAATAAAATAGAAGGAGAGAAGCAACCCTTTTAAAAACCTTTCGTTGCCAGATTTTTGTGAAAGAATATTAGTTACACGATTAGGTGAGCGCACTGGGGGCGAGATTTCACTTTTAAGTGCCTATTTGGTTTATGGCAAATGCTGACGTCATTATCTCTTCGCGAGGATTCGCTTTTGTGATGCTAACGAGTTTACTTTTGTTGCGGAGAATTCTGGAAGGCAGCATAACAAACGAACGGTTAAGCTCGATCCCTTCTTCATCCACAAACACAAATTTCAAATTTACATTCCTCCCCAGCTAGAGTCAATATTTAGCAACAAAGCCTGTGAGGATGTTATTACGACATCAAAGATATTCGCGCCTTTCGGAGGTGGGGGAGGAGTGAGAGCGAAGGTATTTTTATTATTTTTTTCCACTCGAACATTCATGTTTGTGGCAACACCTCGTTGGATGATGGTAATAACTTTTGTGTCGATCGGTCTTATTCAATTGGGTATTCTTCGTGCCATCAAACTTCCATCTTTTCTTCGTCTTGTGCAAATATATCGCGAATTACTATGGGAAGCCGCCACAGAAACATCGAAAAATTCTTTACAAATCAGCATCGGCGCTCTGTAGTTGAAAAGCGAATTTTCAAGGCCCGCGGGCCTGCAAAGACTTCAATTGCGGGAAGAGGGCTGCCAACAAAGGCAGCCTATCCTTTCCTCCCACATGACTGCCGCCCGCGGGCGCCAAAGATCGCCTCGGGCTTGTTTGCCCGGGTCTGATGAACCGCTGCGCCCCTTGATGTGGATCATATTTGCATTAACCAACCACCAGTGAAATTTTTCCCCACGCCCCTTTTTTCTTTTCAGCTTTTCTCTCTCTCTTCATCTGTCCTTTTTATATTGAAGCAGGGCGGCCACCCTGGGGCGCACTCCTAGAGTTGAAGAGCGTAATGAATTTATGACGCCCATCAATTGCGGTATGATTCGATTCTGAACAAGCAATTGCCGACCCTTTCGTCTGTGATAAAAGAAGTACGACGAACTGCCACAATCATTCAATATAGCTGCGACTTCATTACTGACGATGAAATTAGCAAGCATGTCGACGGTATTTAGCAATATTATCACTTACGCAACATTTCTTTTATTGATCAATTATATATGTCATCAAATACTAAATGAAATTACATGCGTTAAAATGTTTTTGAGATTTACTTTTTCATCTCTTAGTCGTCTGTCACATGAGTCGAAATATTAAATGCACAAAGCTATTTATAATTCATCTGTTTATAATTTTATATAAAATTGGTTTGAGCTAATCAATGACATTTTTTATGAAATTGATATTAGGAGAAAACTGAGTAATCGAAACCAAATGCAGAAAGAAGATCCTAAAATAGCACAACCCGGAAAAAAGTTTTGTCATTTTTAATCCAAGCATTAGCTTGCTTTTTTTTTTCTTCTTAAATCTTATAATAGCTGTTTTTAAAAAAAGTTGTCTTTAAAACAATTCTAAAATCCAAAAATTAAAAAAGAAAAGAAATTAATATTTATGAAAATAATTATAAGTTAGACTGTTAGTAATCTTTTAATTAAGGCAGTCCTCATAGTTTAGTTTGTATTAAATTTAGCTCCACAATTACTTGCCATGTAAAGTTAAAAAAATATCTGTGTATTACAATACCTTACTACCTTACTACATTGTAAAACATTCCTGATAAAATTACGGTAAAAAAATATCGTCACTCAGGGCACCGTTATACTTTTTATCGTAACATTTTCACAGTAATAATTACCGTAAAATCGCTGAATCACACTAATTAAATAAATATTACTTTAAAATTTACGGTATAATATTTTACTGTAAAAATAAATGTTACTATAAAATGGATTTTACGGATGAGGCACACAAAGTACTGGTACTATTCCGTAATTTTTTTTTTTTTGTAAATGTTTAGTGATACTAATAAAATAATTAAAAATGTATTAAACAAGATTGATATAAATAATCTTAACTTAGAAAAAATATGATTAGAAATTAAATTAACTAATTTTCTCCTGAAAATTAATGAATATGAGTTGGAACAAGTGGCTCAATTTAAATATTTAGACACAATAGTAAACAATAATGACGACATAAAAATTGAAATCAAAAATAGAATCAACATAACTAACAGATGTTATCATGGATTGAGAAAGCAGTTCAATTCGAAATACATAAGTTGTGAAACAAAAATACAGTTGTACAAGACACTAGTGAGAACAATAGTTTTATATGGCAGTGAATGTTGGGCAATTAACAAAGCAGACGAAGAGAAACTGGTGATTTTAAAGAGAAAAATATTAAGAAAAATTTTTGGTTCAGTAAGAGAAAACGGAAACTGGAGAATTCATTACAACCATAAATTACAATCAAAATACAAAGAATCTACCATACTAAAGATTAACAAGGTTTCGCAAATAAGGTGGCTAGCACATGTATTTCGATATAGCGATGAAAACCCTGTTAAAATATAACCTTCCAAGCACCAGAGGGAAAAAGAAAAAGAGGAAGACCCATAAAAAGATAGTTATGTGGAGTAAAGAAGTGGTTAAATGACTTGGGAGTTCATGGATGAAGATATATAGAATCGGATAAATCTAAATGGGGTAAACCTACTGAGATGGCCTTGGTCGGTAACCGGCTGCAGTGCCTAAGAAGAATTTTCTTTAAACATCTAGTACTACATAGCCAAAGTTCATATAGTTGTCTTTAAAATTAGTAAAAGAAGTCAAAATTGATAAATAATTATTTAAAACAATAATTAGAAAATTAATAAGAGGCTCAACTTCATGTGGTTCCCTTGCATAAGAAGTTTTCATTATAATCCAAGAGAAGTAAATGTTATTCGAAGTATACTTAAAACTTAACATATGAAAAGTTTGAATTTATATTTATTAAAGGAAATACGATATTGCCGTATACATTTTGGCAGCTTACAACTATAACTTATCCAAAAAGTCTTTTTTTTCCTAATTTAATCAAAATTAATAATTTAAACTCAGGAAATACTATAAAAAGAAGTACTTACAAAGAATAGAAATACATTTACAACAAAAATACTATAAAAATAAAAAAAAGCATTTTGTTGCCTAATTTATTCAAAATTAATTATTTAAACTCAGGTAAAAGAATAAAAAGAAATACTTACAGAGAATGGATATACATTTGAAACAAAACTACCACAAAAACATATTAAAAAACTGTTTTATAATTTACAATGCTTTTTTGAATTAAATTAAGACTTGTGAATGCAACTCTTTGAGTAAAAAAATATTCGTTATTAGAATTTCGTAAGTACTTAAAAATTTGACTTATTTTTAATAATTTTTAAAAAATATGAAAATAATTTTTATCCTTCAATATTTAATCATAAAAAATAAACTTTTATTAGATGATGGATTTGTTCAAAGATTCAAAATATAGGTATGTCATGTTCAAAAATTATAAAAGTCTCGACTTGAATTTAATGTCCAATGACAATTTGCGCTTTAAGGAATCAAGTATTTTGCTACCGTTAATTTAACAATTACATTAATACTTAAACAAAACTAAACAATAATAAAATTTTAGAAAACTGTATTCTGTGACCGATTATTCTAAAAAAAAGTTATTCTATAAATAAAAATATAAAGAAATTATATTTATATTTTAAGAAAATATTTTTAAATCTGCTGCATTTTTTAGAAAATAAAATTACTCTAAAAAGATAGATAAGTAAAATATGTATTTTTTTACACGCATTTCTTCTATAAGACGTGTATAAGACTTAGCGTAACTTAAAAATTATTAATCGCTAGCAATTTATAACAAATAGTATCTGAATATATTTATTTAAAATCCAAAATTTGAAGGGAATAAATAAATTCTAAAATTTCTCTTATCCTTTGTTCAAACATTAGCATGCAACTTTCTTTCACTTTTAAACATAACTTTGAAAAAGTTTTGTAGAAAACAGGGCATTTTGGGGCTCACCGTAAAAAAATTAATAAGTAATTAAAAAATACTATTAAATTTAATTTTAAAAGAATGTCGGTATAAAAACGTTTACTTCCCTGAAAATTACTGTTATTTAAAAAGGAATGCTTGTTTTTCAAGCAGATAAGTACTGCTATTTTAACAAAGGAAAACTGTTATTTTAATTTAAAAATAACTCCATAAATTACAACTTTAGCATTGTAATCGGTGCGAGCCAAATACGTATTACCAGTAAACGGCGTGATTCGAACCCATGTCGCCTCGTTGGAAAGCGAGCACTCTGGCACCAGAACCACAACAAATCCAATGTTTTCATATGATGAGAAAACGTGAACTATCTTTATCTTAAATGTCTAATTAAAATCATATTTAAGTGTAGAAATGTTTAAAACTATAGTGACCCACCCTTATAAAAATGACTGTCGATTTAACTTCGATTCATCAAGGAAATAGAATCATAATTTTATTTATGCGATCAAGTATAGAAAATAATCGCAGCATGATTTAAAAAAAGATAAAGTTGCATGTCAAGTTGCAAAACTGCATATCAAAAATTATAATTTGAATTGATAGTTTTAATTCATTTATGATTAAAGAAAAAAACAGTGAAAAACTGTTTTGTGAAAAATAGCTTTAAGCCATCAAATATGAGGGGAAAATCTGTAAAAAAAATCGGAATTTTTTGCAGCGAGTGGGTAACGATTATAAACAGAAAAAAAATCTGTATTTATCTTCAAACAGTTTTTTCGCAAAATAAATGTTTTTTTTCTGTAGAATTTACAGTTATTTTTTACAGTACGTCTAGTTGCTTCAGGAAGAATTTTAAACATTCAGAAAAATTCTAAATCTTATTTTAATTCAATAAAATTATGAATGTTGAGTGTTTAAATGTAAAATAAAAGACACGTGACATAAGAAAAAAAGTAATATTACTTACAAGGAGACACGGTAGAATAGACGGAAAATGGCAAAGGAGGAGGCCTAGGTGCCACAGATGAAGGAGGCATCGTCAGAGGACAGTGATAGCAAAACATCTACAAAAGAATAATAACTATTATCGTCTTATAATTATGCACATTTTTCATACACTGTGAAAAATTAAGAATCAAATTACGGTATCAAGTACCGGCACTTAAGGTACACCATCCGTAAAATCTATTTTAACCGTGAAATACTAAACAGTAATTTTTACAGTCATATTTATTAAATTTCAGTGATTCAGTGATGTTCTAACTATGTACAGCGACAAAATTAGATTTGGATAGCATTGACAGTTTTTTTAACGTAAAAAAGATATTTTCGAACATTGGAACAATATTTAATACAAACTTAGTACAATATTTAAGAGTCAAATAATTAAACAGAAAACTGGAAATGCTGATCGTGCAATTGTAATCATAGTATAAATTATTTCGTTCAGTTTGAATGCATGCTTATACAATTTTCAAAATGAAGTTAGAAAAATTTGCAACTAATATATCCTGTGATTTATAAACATTTAATTAATTTTATATATTATATGATCTTATATTAATAAAAGTTTAAATTTGAGTTTTTTGTGGGCAGCAAATTTTTTATTCTTGCATAAATTCTGAGCACCTTCATTCTACAATGTATGGGCACCAGAAGAATATCTAGGAAAATGAAAAAAATATATATATGGCATATCTCTGTTAATAAAACGTTTCTCTCTTCCGTGGTAACCAAGAAGCATCATTGAAACTAAAATTTAGCTCTAAATTATTATTGAGCCAGAGTAAATTTATTTGCTTATTTTTAAAAAAAATTATTTGTTGATAAGTACTATTCACTGTCAACCCTTTTTTACCTCCCGACGCAAATATTATAAGAAGTTCTAGATCAAATTACGGTAAAAAGTACCGGTAATAAGGGTTTAGGTACTTTTTACAGTAAAATCTATTTTCATCAGAACATGCTACGGAATAAAAATTCTAATATACCATAATTTTTATAGTAATAATTACCTTAAAATCACTGAAACAGTCTAATTAAATAAGTAATGCTGCCACAATTATAATATAATATTTTAGGGTAAAGTTGGATTTTATAGTAAAATGGATTTTAGAAAGGATTCACCCAAAGTACCGGTACTTTATACCGTAATTATATCCGGAATTTTTTGCAGAGTAGCTCGTTTTATTTAAGCTTTACGCCATCCTCGCGAAAAAAGGATTTTCATTCAGAAACTTGTAAATATGTATGTTTCACATAAACAGCTCACTCACATATTATTTCAGTTCAACGCGAAAAAAAAGCAAATACTTTTTTGTCACCGTTTAAGTGAGTTCTTACAAATTTATTCAAAGGTTAATAACAAAAAAGATAGAAATTAAATCGTCGGAGCTTGTTTATTTGTTGAAAGTTAAAATCTGTTCAACACTTTTCCATTTCATTCAGCAGACAAACTAGCTTTCTCGTACTGATTGAATGATCTGACTTGTCAGATTTCGATTATGTTGTTTATTTTTCCCTTTGTAATCAAGTTTATTTATGAAAAAGATCAAGTTTGAAAAAACTGAAATGTTATGCTTAGGTACATTGTAAAAAATTTCGGATCAAGTTACAGTAAAAAGTACCAGCTCTAAGGATTCCAGTACACAGAGCAAACATCTGTGGTAAATTTACCGTACTACATAGTAATGACATTTCTAATTTTAAAAAATCATAATTCTGGTATTAAAAACCAATATATATGATTTTTAAACCATTCCAGTTAACCGGAAATTCTGATTTTCCAAATGATATTTCTTATTAAATCACATTTAGTAAAAATACAGAACTGAAAAGTAAATTTAAAAGGTTAAATGGTTATTATCCCATGATCTAATTTTATGCCATAATAAAATTACCAAATTTTATGACATTTATCAAATTTTATCACACTTAATAAGTTAATATTTTAAAGTTAATTTTATCAAAATCATTATCATCTTGGTAAAAAATACCGAGCTTTTTAATGCTTCCATAGAACCAGAAAAACGGTAAATTTTACATTATTGTGGTAGTTTGACATTACTTTTTTTCTCAGCACACTATATACTGTAAAATCTATTTTTACTGTAAGGTTATACAGAACAAGAATCTGATATACCGTATTTTTTTACAGTAATAATTTCTGTAAAATCCCTGAATCACTGTAATTAAAAAATATTACTGTAAAAATCTGTAATACTACTGTAAATACTACTGTATTACTATTAAATTTTACTTCAAAAGTTAATTTTACTGTAAAATGGATTTCATGAATGTTGCACCCGAGGTGCCCATACTTTTTACTGTAATTTGATCCAAAATTTTTCCCTGTATATGTCTTCTGAATTTATATAGTGTTTACATACACTTTACTGTAAATACTGTGACAATTCAATCCCCATATTAAACTTAAACTAAGCAAAATGTTAAATATTTGTCATAAAATTCACTATTCCAATTCCTTTGTATTATTTGAAGTACTTTCTTCATAGTTTTATTTCCCTCAGCTTTTTAAAAACAAAACTTGCATTTATGCTTTAAAATTCCTAAATTTCATATTCATAAATAAATCATATTTCATCTTCAGAGAACTGTTTTAAGTATTATTTGACTTAAATGTCATTCAGTTTTCCTCATCATATCCAATAACGTTCGTAAAAGATGTTTTCAAATTCGTTTTACGAATGTGATTGTAAATTTTAACTCGATTTTATTTACTAAACACACGTAGCTATAAAATGAAATCTATCTGCTTATACATTTATATTATTTCAAAGATATTGCTTTAGCGGATATAAACTACCATCGAGAAGTGAGTTTTTATTACATTTGGGACAATATTCTTTGAAATCCAATTTCTTTAGAAAGAATTCTTATTCCTGAATCCTCTCAAATTCTATTATAAACTTCTTTCGAACGAAAATAAAAACAGAAATGTATCTCCTTTAGAACTTTCAACTGATTCTTATTGGTTGAAATAAGCTTATCGTATTTTTCAAAGATCCAATAAAATAATATTATTTTTATTTTCCAAATACCTATAAAATTTCTATCTTACTTGAATGAATTTCAACAAATATTACCTTCAATACTCCGAAAAAGTACAGATAATTTAATAATGTGGATGTTACTAAAATGCATTATTATATTCGATCGAACGTATGATTATTTTCATATACGTGTGGTATTTTTACAAATAATCATAATCTATATGACGAAAATTAATTGAACCATTCGGTTCTTGGGAAACTGCCGCAGTCAAATTGAAAGAATCTCCAATATTTAGTAATCAAACTGAAGCTATTTTTATGTTCATTTCACACTGTTAAGAAAAATTCTATTCAAAATCTGTGTTTGCATAAAATCGTTTATTTGTCAGAAAAAGACTGTCATTTAAAAACGGATGCCTGTCTTTTCAGCACATAATTACTGTTACTTATTAACAAGCACCGTTATTTTAGCAAACTCTGTTGTTTTAGCAAACTCTTGTATTTAAATAAAAATTCTATAAAATAAGATTGTAATTGGCCTGAGCCGAGAGCCGTTGGAAGCTCTCGTGGCTCACCCGTATAAAGATGTCTGGCAACTTAACTTACCAAAATTATATCTAAAGAAATATGATAATCATGCAGAGCATCGATCTGACTGTGGAATCGAATAGCATTTTTATTTATACGATAATCAAAACCATGAAATATTTGCTCAAAAATAGGGGCTAGTATAGAAAATAATCGTAAAATGATTCGGACAAAAAAACAGTTATCTTATGGTAAGCAAAACTGCATGGAATAAACTAGAATTAGAAATGACGGTTTTAATCCGTTTATGATACGGATGAAAAACAGAGAAGGATTTTTTTATCAATAAAACAGCTTTAAACAGTCAAATATACAGAGAAAGTCTGTAAAAAGAACTAAATTTTTTACAGCGTGAGGATAACGGATAGAAAAAAGAAAAATCTGAATTTTTTTGTTAATTTTTTTAAGGAAAAATATGCTTTTTTTTCTGTAGAATTTGCAGTTAATTTTTGCAGGGCAGTTTAGTCCACATACCTAATATGGTAATCAGAAAATATGTTATTTAGTGCTAAAATTGCATGATTGATTTCAGGCAATTTCTAAAAAAACTAAGGTAGTAAAGGATCATTATTATAAATAGTCTTATTAAAGGTTAATTGTAATAGGTCTTAATAAATACAATCTTATTGAGTAATTCTTAGTGCATTCTTTTATATGTTCAAAGGCATACAAGCTGAATGTGAAGAAAAAAATCTAAAAGAGGAAAAAATACTGCTTAAAAATGCTTTTCCAATTCACCAGATACATTGCAATTATTTTACATATTACTATATACACAATACGTTAAATTTTGCAAATTAAAATCTTTGATTCCAAACGAAAGCTGTTCTACTTTATTATAATATTTTCGCTATTTATGGCACTAATATAATCCATTGCGGCAAATATTTGAGCTTTGACGGCTCAGAGGTTAAGGCACCAAGATGTAATTGTGAAAAGCTGGGATTCAATCCCCGGTGACTTGTGACCCATCCCAGCCTCAGACCAATGGACACCAGCTTTTCTGGAAAAAAGGAGTGGTCGAAGTGCAATGTTGACCGCATTCTCACCATCATGCCGTTAGCCACTAAAATTTTCTCCATGAAATGCTCTCAATTGACCTACAATAGACCTGCCTCAATTGACCTGCGGAATTGCTTCACTTTAACTGCTACTAAAAATGCCAGTCATATTTTTCTAATACCAGCTTAATTTCTTGAGAGAACTGAATAAAATTTTAAATAAATGAATTATGAGCTCAAACATAGTGTTAAGAACGATAATTCAGCTCTCACGATTACGGTTGCAGAGAAAGAATTTCCTATTTTTCAAATGGCAACAACTTTTTTTATGTCAATTATTCTTTGCAGCCTTAATTTTATTTTGTTTCTTTGCAGCATGTTATTAAGTTTTATTTTGAGGATTGAATTTTGCGCAGTCTAGCTACATCCAACTTTTGTGCCATTAAATAATTCATTAGAATC